AGAGAGGAAGAGAGAGGAAGAGAGAGGAAGAGAGAGGAAGAGAGAGGGACAGAAAATGGCCTGAGTCGTTGTGTTTTTCAGCCCGTCTTTGGCAACGCTTTTTTGTTGGGCTGGCAAAAACAGGAGAAAGGACATAGGAGAAGCATTTCTTTGCATCCCTTTGCAAAGACTGCTGATTGTCAGGATCTACAGACCCTTGGTGGTTGAGAAGCCGGAATTGGTTTTCTACTTCTTGGGCCTCCTGCTCATCTTGCCAATTACCCTTCTGAATCTGGTCTCTTGGCAGGAGTTTTCCGTGTGACGCCAGGTGTGAATGGGACGAGATTTCAAAGGTGCGGTGAGTCCAAAATCGAGCCATCTCATGGAATGCAAATCTTGGTGCAACTGCTCCGTCCTAGCTTGTATGTGTTCAGATGGCGAAGATAGCGGACAGAGTGCGATAGGTAGGCTTTGTCCTATCCTTCGCAGGACACACGGAGGTTTTTGCCATGAGGTTCACAAGCACAAGCAGCTCATTCTATATATCGAATTGGCTGCAGGTAACTGCAGTGCTTGTGGAGAACGGAATTACACAAGCGCAGAAAGAAGCTGAGTTCGAGATGAAGGCCATGTTCGCTGTGTCACGCTTGAGACGATGGTGCTTCCATATCAGGTCTGGTTTCCTCGTTTCATTTCTGTTATTTTTCCTTTGTTGATACGGGCTGTGTTGTGTGGTGCATTCCCAACTTCGGAGTATGGCATCAGACCATCATGGGGATCGGGGCAACCTTGCGCACCCAGTACTTTAAAAACTAGGAAAGACTTTCCAAAAGCCAATGCGGCCATGCGCGCCATCCGCGGTCGTTAGTTCGATGAATGGTTTTTCGGAGCTCCATTGAGCTCCATGGCTTGTCGTCGATGGCTTGGCGGCGCCAGGCCCGAAGTGCAGAAATGCGGTCGGCAGTGATGCAACTTCTGGACACCTCCGGTTTGGACGAACCGCGCTCTTTTTCGCAGCGCTCTGTCGGTCAGAACAACTTGGGTGTGGTGTACTACATCCAGAAACTTCCACAAACTGCACTGCCCAGTTCCAAGGCGATTCACATGTTGCATGTCAAACGGTCTTACTAAAGAAAGAATCAGGGAAAGTATCTTTGCGAAAGAAGGAGTCTGCAGATCCCATGTGGGCATACCTCCCCACCTCGTGGCGGTTCTCTTTCTCTCCACTTCGTCCACGTGACGAGCGATCGTCTTCAACGATAGGAGTCTCCCAGGTCAGGCGCCGACCACGGACACCAGGTCAGGCACGTCAGGCACCCACCCATCAACACCCCACCACCGAATGACCGCTCCTCTGCACGAACGAAGAGGACCGACCTTCCGTCCTTTTCTTCCTTTTTCTTCCGTGGCCTTCTCTCCGGTGAGGACCTTTTCACGGAACTGGACGGGAATGAAAACGGCGGCCTCAGTCGCATGGAACTTGCCAAAGTGCCAGCTGCTTGGGCGCGCTTGGGCACAGGGAATTGGCTCGTGGGTGGGTGCTTTGAAGGTTTCTTTGGTGCTTGCGAGTCATAGCAGCTTTCTTTGAGTTGCTTGGGGAAGAAACAGGAAAAACGGCAAGAGTTTATGAATGTCACGCAGATGAGTGACTACTTCCGGACAAAACTTGATCAAGGCTTTTGACCAAATGTGCACGTCAATCAATCCGAGGGGTCATCAGATCCAAGTATACCAAAGCCCTGGTGCAGGGAGGACGATCCATTTGAGGGAATTTGTCCATGATGTTCCAGGTGCGTGCAGCGGCTAGTAACTAGTACAAGCCACACTGTTCTTGTTGACACAAAGGCTTCCGCCCAAGGAGAAAAGTCTTGCGAGTAAAGTCAATGTCCCTCGCTCAATGCTGCACAACTTGGGCTGAGGAGAAAGCTGTTCCAAAGGATTTGCTCGATACATTGGCGGTGGAAGAGCCTTTGCTGTTGGAATGGGTGTGGTCGGTGTGGTGCACTGTCACGCTACGCCGCTACACTGCGCTTCTCTGTGTCGTCGCTTCGTGTCGCTTCTCTGTGACCCGTCCGACGACCCATCCGACGGGTCCTGATCGACACGCTGGGTCTTTGCGCTTCTTGTTACTACTAGTAAGGCGCCTGTTACTACTAGCGTGGCACTTGTTTCTAGTAGCTTCTTGTTACTATAACTACTAACAGTGCGGTCGCGTTTTTCAAGGTCCGAGTCAGCGAGAAGACTGAGGATTTGTGTGATCTCTTCGATCTGTTGGATGTTGATCACACAGGCACGGCTGGTGTATGGTGCTAGATGTGCACTGAACGACACCACAATTGGACTGATTTGATGTTGGAACCATTTGCCCCAGAGCGGCACTAGAAACTCAGAAGAGGTTCAGCAAGCATCAGAAAAGAAGACTGCTGCAGAATGCTTGCTGTATCCATGTTCAGCAACCTCCTTCACAACCAAGCCATTGCATGTTTGCCACGTGGTTTTGCCGATTGTCCCCGAAGGTGAAATTTCGCAAGAGGAGTTCGTCGTTCCTTGGTATTGGTTTTGCATGTTTGAAGCTGCGCTCAGCTGCACTCTTTCTACATGTCTGCGGATTGTCAACCTCGGGCAGGGTCGACGTTTCGTCATTCTCCGGCGATGTGTTTTTTTCAGCTCAGGATGGTGTGCTGCAGATGGTTGTACGTGATGTGCCTGCTGAAACCATGAGATCCCTGGCGGCGATCGACACCGTTGTCGGTGAGAAAGGCTTCTCTATGCAGCAAGTCATATCAAAAGATTAGGCAAGGAGCTCGTTAGGCCGGTGTACAGGAATGCTACTTTACGACTCAGACCTTCAGGGTATGACGCACGCATAGCATGGAAGCAGCTATTGAAGAGTGGACCTAGGAATCATGAAGCTTCTTCAATCTGTGCATCGTACAGTGCACTGCTTGAATGATTCGCTGCTTGGCCAAGATGCCGTCTCTATCACTTGAAAACCAGTCAGACAAATGTAAGCGCAGAAGACACTCAGATGGATTGCTTATATGTTTACATCCTATGTAGCTTAATTCTATTGGTCTTCAAGGCGTTCAACAATACCAAGACGGAAGAACACAGGCCTTGATCCAGTTAAGTGAGTGCACCTGGCCAGCCCGATAACATGGTGGCCAAGGTACAGCACGATGCTGAGCCAAGCGGAAATGACCTCCTGTTTGTGAGTCGATGTGGAACCGGGGTGTGACCCTCAGTTAGATAGGAAAAGTAGCGTGACGAAATGCATAGTCTGCAGAACAAGAAGATGTCTGGATTATGGAGGTTGAAGGGTGTTGAAGGGTGTGTGAATTGAGAAAATCAACCCAAGCCCAGTCAAGCTGAAACATGTGGGCACGCTAATGTCAGCGCGCCAAACGACACTGTACCTCGAAGAATGAGCCGTCAAAGATGGCTTGGCACCGAGGCATGCGCCGGTTTGGGAAAGCAGGAAAGTTTTTTGCAAATGATTGCTTTCCATGTGGGTTGAAGAATCCGTTTGAAAACATCATTCGTTTTTTGTTTCTTGCTTTTGCCAGACCTACTAAGAGACATGCCCCAGAACCGCACGACGATGACAAAAACGTCAGCTGCTGGCCGAGGTGAAGAGCACCTAAGATCGCCTATTTTTCATTCATTTGCAATTTGCAAAGCAAGAAGGTTTCATTTGCTTTGTGAAGTAGAATATAAACACTATATAATGTTATATGTGCTTCATTGTTTTCCTCCAAACCATTGAAGCCATGCACCGAGCAATACTGAGCAGAGCACCTGGAGCACCTGTAGTGGTGTTAGTTCTTCGATTCATCAAGTCCCTCTTTGCTGTGAGAGTTCATTGGGTTGTGGAGACCTCCTCTTGATGAGTCAGGTGAAATCTATATAGTACCCCTGTTTGTGGTTCGACTGTTAGAGCCGTGGTCTGGTTTTGTTTGCGGATTCTGGTTCTGGGGTTAGCCAGCTCAGCTCGTTTTCGAGCAAGCCACCGTCAGTGGAAAGGTACAAACTCCCCAGGTACACCATCAAGCTCTCACCGCCACGCTGTACAACTCCCCAGTCCCTATGAGTTCGATCCGGTGCTGTTCACCGGTCTGGATCACTGGGAAAAGGCGTCACTGGTGGGTCAGATTCTCCGCGCCCCTGAATCGGGTCCTGTCGGGTCCGGTCCGGCGATCGGTTCCGGTGCTTTCGGTTGGAGACCGGCGAGGTCCATGCTGCAGAGCTCACCTCGCTCTATTGGGCAGCTCTGAGTGCGGCACGCCCCGGTGGCTGCACGAGAGTTGTTTGGGTCTGGTTTTCTTTTCTCAGTCCAGAAGTGGCTAGCCACTTCTTAGGTTGCCCACACAATGCTTGCTTTCCATGTTCGATGAACATGGGGCAGACATATGCAGAACTGGTATGAAATGGTGGTTCAATGATCATCATGTGCTTCTCTTTGGCCGAGCATCATGGTGTGAACTCAAGATAGAGTTTTCAACCCTGAAAGGGCCCTGTACCAATTTGCCCAGTGGCACATGAGAGATCTTGTTGGCATTCAGGGATATGACAAGTGAAAGTCAATGTCGTAAAGGTTGTAAGGTTTTGAAGAGGCTTTACGCTGAACCGAGGCTTAGTCGCCACATTGGTCACTCCATATGTGCAGCTTGTCCAACAAAAAGAGTTGTCAAGACAAACTTTAAGTTAAAACTTGTACTGTAACACTCGACGTGCCCTCGAGTTCACAGCCCACCTGTTTTGGGGTGTTCTGCTGGTGCTGTCCAGCTCCAGACCTGCTTCACCCGTGGTCCATCTCACGGTATCACTAGGGGAAGATGCAGACCCATATTTTGAGAAGATGGACATTCCTGTGAAAAAAAATAAACATTTGAAGAGGTGGTGACAACTTGGGTGGTGTCGTATCATAGCAGTCTATGTAGCCTACAGGAGGCAAACATGTTGCTCCATGGGATGCCTTGTGCTAAGGAATCACTACCGCAACTTGCCGGCAAGAAACGGAAACGGTAGAAACAATTGACCTGGCTGCATCTATTCCCATTATATGCCCATGCAGCAGTTTTGCAAATTAGGAACATCACAGCAGTAAATAGTAGCTCTTTCTATGATATAAGCTGGTCCTTTGGCTTTCTTTGTGTTCTGAGGCTACATTCAGCTGCACTTACTTCTGGCTTGGACTTCAATGTTTGCCTTCAGCTTTGGTGGCGTCAAGATGATAGCTGCTTGGAGACACTGAGCAAGAAATATATCAACCTAGAATTTGGATGCACTACAGCTCCATTTAGGTTGGGAAGGTATTGAAATTACCAAAAACGAGACGGTCTGATGTTCTCCTCGTTGGAGTGCTCATTTTGTGCCAAAGCGTTTGACAGGCGTTGACCCGGTTTTCGAGATCTCGCGCAAGTCGTTGGGAGCGGCCTGGGATTCCCGTTTGTTGCACTCTTCATCCAAGAACTAAGACCACCCCGCCATCTAGAAAAACGTCCAGACTAACACATAGAGGCCCTCCGGCGTGAAAGAGGCGCCGGGAAAACTGCCATCGACCACCCCGCGGGTAGTAGATAGCAGGCGGCCACGTAAAGCAGGATAGTCCAACTCTCAGGGCGTTCGTGGAATTCAGTTGGGTTGGGTTGGTGGAAAGCTTCCAGCTGCTTCGATCAATGCTCAGGTGCTTTCCACCTTCCTCTATGGATTTGCACTGGGGCCTCTTTTCCCTGGTGCTCTGCTCGTTGCAGAGGCTGGTGGCTGCACATGCTGCAAATATCAAAAGCTGCAGGTTTTGCCTCTTCCTTGAGTCTACATTGTTCATAGCTGCTCAGGCTGACCAAGAGTACCAGGTCACCTTTGGGAGACTACACAAAGCACATCAAACCGCCACTTCTCCGAAGGTCCATGACTCACCTAAAGGTTCTAACGCCCACTTGTAACCCCAGTCACCAAACACTACGAGGGCTGTGCTTCACCCTGTGGAGTTCTCCGATAGGGTCTTTCCGTTGATTTTTGCCGACCAAGAAGGGCGCAGAGAACAACACAGATATAGCCGATGGTAATTTTGCGATGTTTCAAAGACTCTGGAGTCCCAGATTGACGAGACGGACGAGACGGACTAAACCTCAGACACCCTTCCTTGTCTCTAGCCACTCATGAGCCTTCAGGAGAAGTTAGCCCCTGAGCCTTTGGATGGGAGAGCTGCAGGCCGAATCGTGTGTTCGGACTCAGAGAGTCCAGTTCGATCAAAGATGGGGGTCCTACACTGTGACAGTGATGTGACATTCCGACGACTAAACAGATTTATATACTCTTATCCCGTGTGTGTGTGTGTGTGAGTCACCATGGTGGCTGACAAAGAACACAAAAATAGTTCAGAGAACAAGACTGCCGCAAGCTGCTGGGTGAAACAGGATTTACAGTGGCATGTGCCGCGCTGGGAGAAACTTGGATGCAAAGAATTTGTTGTCCTGGAACCTGGCAGCATTTGAAACTCCAGTTGATGTGGCTGAAAGAAGTGGCCTCCGATGCCCTGAGGAAATGTTGCTGCCCTTGCTGACAGGTCTTTGTTTCGATGTCGACCACGCTTCATTTGGGCCTGTGCAGCTTCTCGGACAGTCTGTGATCTTCACTGTTCCCACATTTTGGATGAATTTGAGATCCCCTGAGACTCATGTTCAAGTCACATGTCTTTTTAATCAAGATACAGTTTAGAATCATCCGGGAAGTTGCACGGCAGTAAATATGCTTTTGGGAGGCAATAGTGGAAGTCTTGGGGAGGCTTGAGCCAAGTGTCAGCTCACCTCGTGCAGCCTGTGTGTATCGCCTGTTTCTTACCTTTAACACCCTTCAACCGGCCCAGAACCTGGGGCGATGATGCTGAGGTTGGCCATTTGCAGCAGCACGCTGTTGATCTTTGCAGCTGTTTGAGGCGCTTCCATGGCAGCTCCAGGCGCTGCATACGGTGAAGCAGCCGAAAGATCTCCTGAGTGTCAATGACTGAGAAATCGTAGGTTCTGTGATGCGCCATCGTGTGGCAGTTGTTCATGGCAATTACTCACATGCACAACATGGCCTCCCACTCTCTGCTGGGGTCGCGGCATCTTTCGCCCAGCTTGGGGCGGAGTTTCTCTTGCCCTGGGATTGGCATTGGCACCGGTGAAAAGCGGCCGTTTGCTCGCTGTCATGGTTTTGGGGTCGTCTTCGTTTGACTAAATGAGGCGCTGTCGATGGCGCACGGTTCACAGTGGATGTGGCCTTAGAAGTGGTTTAGCAAGAAAGAGTCCATCCTGAGCTGGGAAGCTACCTTTGTGGGCTGAATCTTAACATGTTGGGTCAACATCCACCACGAGACTATTCATGGTTCCACGGAGTGTTTACCTACAGTTTGACTCATCCATTTGCAGGCCGTGCTCAGTGAGCATGGCGCCGGTTCCTTCCTTTGCTGTTCGCTGCCCTATGTGAAAAACCGAGGCAACTCCTGACCGTGGACTCGATCACACCCAACTCGGGCTCCCTTGGAGGTGTTAAGGCCCGAAGGAAGGGGCCGAAGGGGCGGTCACCCGCCGCGATCGCGGCACGAGTGGAGGGGTGATGATGGTGATGTTCGCCCTTTTGTTCAGGTTTAAAAAAAGTTAAACACTGAGTTGGTTCGGGTGCGACAGACATCCTCTTCACAGAAAGAAATGGAGCCTGCTCTTGATGCTCGGGGTGCCGAACCGGTGCTGTGCCGCGCCTCGCCGGATGATCCGAAGCGCCGGGACCGGTGGGAGCGAACCGGGCGGGTCGCAGGTGACCCTGAGCGGCAAAGGCTTCGCCACCAATCCCTTGCGGCATTTCATCCGTGGGCAGTCTCAGCTTTGCCAGATGTTTGACCTGCGGTTATAGTCATACCGCTCAGTTGGCAGTTGACTTGTTCACCTTGCAAACAGTATGCACTCCAAGAACTTTCAAGATTTAAAGTAGATAAGAAAGACCTCAGTTCCGTGCACATGTTGCTTGAGCCAGCCTCAATCATGGTTGCATGTTTATGATGAGGAACTGCACGGGTCTCAAAAGAAAGCCGTTGTTCTAACCAGGGACCTGATTTTTGTTCACAGTTTGCTCAGTGCAGCTCATGACTTGCTCCTTGAAGCCAGATTCTCATTTGGCCTTCGCCAAGGTGTGGGAAGCAACTACTGGGGCGTTTGCGAACCACTCTATTCCGACT